GAGCTTTGGATAGAGTTTCGGGCAGCAATTGGGAGAGTGTCTGCCCAACGGGGGGGCGGGCTTCGGGATGTGCCTAATTCGGCTTTCCATGGGAGGGAGAGAGGTTGGTATCCACGAGACATTGTCTTTGGAAGGTGGCTTGAGTGAAAGCATAGTGACGTTGGTCATGCCTGTGTATATGCATGTTGGTCTGTATGTTGGGCTGATGGTGGTGGTGGATGACCATCTGGCCGGTAACAGGGTCGGCGTTGCACTTTCGGTCTTGACGCAGGGCTTGGCTATTTAGGATTGGCTATGGAAATGAGGGCATTCCCGGATTTTGTGACGGTGATGTTGTTGTGTATTGTGTTGGGTGATGGTGTATGCCAGCACATCAGCAATGTGGATGTCTGGTGTTGTGAAGACACATGAGTCTCACACCACCACCTGACAAAAAGAGATGGGCTATTCCTGAGATAGTTGACAATATGATAGATGATATCAAAAAGAAATGCCTGCAAAAATGAATCAGAGCAAATGCTCCCCCGGGAAGGCTCGAACTTCCGATCTCCCGATTGTCTGCAAGTAACAGTCGGACGCTTTAGCCAACTAAGCCACAGGGGATTGGTTCGCTTGATGACGGTGGACTTCCCAATTAGGATTCATATCCTCGCGGCTTCTGCAGACAACGTCAGTCGTTACACCCAACATTTGACGAGTAGAGTCCAGTCTCACGATAACTACGTAGTTTCCTGCAAGGCGGAATACGCGCAACTGGGTTTCTCCTGCCACTTATCTCTCCTAGTGGGACCGGGATTGATCCTACATGCAGTCATGAGTTGTTCGGACGAGAGGATAGAGCCAAATTCGTCAACTTCTCGTGGATATGAGATGTTTCGTTACACCGGTCATGTCCTATACGGTTATCCGCCCAGCCCAGACCGTCAAAATCTCCAATAGGACAATTATAACCCACCTGATACGTTCAAGTGCCAACAGAGTTGTCACCGGCTGTAGCCTACTCTTCAAACCGTCTCACCGGTTTCCTAGACAGTCTGACACTCTCCTCCATCACCCCCAACTCATCCAAAACATACCCTACACAAAGACCCAAAACACCAGAGACAGACTCGGGTCCTTCCGCCGACTTGCATTCACAGGTGTCGAAACTGATGTCTCTGGGCCAACTCATTTTCCCACGTGGACCCTTCTTCTGGAGTAATTCCGATAGACAAATCTCACAAGGCTAAACAAAACAACACATTAATCTCGATCAAAATTTACCGACATTGGTACCCGACCCGAGGAGAAACGAGATCAAAAACTTGAGTGGGAACATGTGGGTGATTGATTCCCGCATCAACCGGTGGGACACACGGAATCGTCCCACAAGCACTTGGAACGGAACCCGTTTCCCCTCTCAGGATAACAAAAAAGCAATTCGTGAGAGCAAGTCCAAGCGATCCGATACGGTACGAGTCATGGCAAGAAAAAGAAATGGGCTCATGAGAGGGATCTCGAAGGAAAAAGCAAAAAAAAAAGAGAGGCAGCCACATCGGGACCCATCGCCAAGTTTGTGGAAATTCGAAAGAGAGACATTACAACTTTTTGATCGACGGGACGTGTAAAATAACCCGTTCAAAGATGAGGCTACTGCGAGGCCTGCCACGATTGGGACAGGGTAGAGAGTGATGGAGATGCAAAATGCACAGAGACAAACGCCATCATCACATGATGAAGATGGTGATGCAGAACGTTCCCGCCCTGCCGTTGGTTGGTTGGGCAAGTGGAAAAGAGGGATCGGCAGCATGGATATTCGAGTTTGATTTGGGAACCGATAGCTCATATTAGGCGGACGATGTGTTGATGATGATACTCTCTCTCTCACCGTGATATCTCCATCGGTTCGTCAACAACCTCCTAAGATCTACATGGGATTTCCATGTTTACCATGCTCACCACAAGTGAAGCTGTTACCCCCCGGGAGAAGGGGAGAGCGGTGAGATTTCGTCTGTTTCAGGTGCAATCTCGCAGATCCAAGGAGGAGGGACCCATTTCCCTCAAAACGTTGCTTTTTCGACATGTTCGTCCTTTTTTGCTCCACCACCATGATCAAGTTCCATTCAGATGTACCAGTTACAAAGGTACAGAAGTACCTATATTTGTTGACATGGGTGTGTTCGATTATGTAGGTATACAGCTCGTGGGGTCGGTCCCCCCCCTTGAACACAACTCGTTCCTTCAGGGCTGTCCCGGCTGACTGGGTATCCCGAGGCAAGACGGTCGTTGGGACCATGTCGGGGGTGGAGCCAGCCCGAGACATGACATGGAGCTAGAAGAGCGGTTCCGCGGGCTGTATTTTTGATCATGATGGGTTTGTTGAAAGGGTACTTTGAGTTGTCAAGAGATAGGAGAAGCTCTTCCGTTAACAGTATAGCCAAGAGATCATCTCAACCACAAAAGACAACAACTCCAAGCAAATCATACAAGACAAAAACAGACATCATGCAGGGAGAAAGGCAGGGCATCTTTCTCGGTCGCCAAGCACCCGGACTTGCGCTCCAACCAACACTAGGATTCTCCCACCTACGTAACCGTGGGGCACTCAAAAACTCAGACCGGTATGGGGAAAAGGAAAAAAAAACCATGCAATGCACATGCTGCATTTTGTGGTGGTCGGACCGCTCAGTTGGTTCCAGAGGAGAGGGCTACCCCTCCCCTGCTCGTGCATTTGACGCTAGAAGCGAGCAGCCGCAGATGGAGGGGGGTAGGGGAGACGGAAATTCCAAACGAGAAGAGAGAGAGAGAGAGAGATTGCATATCCCGTGTTTGAGGCATCTTGTTGTTGGTTGTGTCTCTCGGCACCAACCGCGTGACAAGCAGCCCTCTCTTTTCTTCGTCACAATTGAGAGTCATCGGCGATTACGATTAGGCACGGAGAACGACCCTGTTCCCTGGGAACGGAACCCCCTGTAGTTACGGTTACATCCCCCAAGGGTGGGGGATTTCCGGAGCAAGCACCAAGCCTGAGGATTCAGCGTCGATAGCGCGGATCTACAGCAAAGCTGAACTGTTGACAAAGTGTCGGATAGATAGCTCGCTTGTTCTGAGTCCTACTCGAGGCGACGGAAAAGAAACCCCCTTGCTCAGAGGAACACAACTCATGACAACTCTCCATCATGCCAATGACGTTGCCCCAACCTGTCAGGGTCTTCTCTCACACACGCACGACGCACGCGCGCAGAAAGTCAAATCCTGTATCCACTCACTCCCACACACGCTCAAGCCACGGTTACCAAACTACAGGGACGCACCGCATGTTTGATGTTGCAGGGACAAGAAAGAGACCCCTTCTTCTCTTTTCGAGAACGAAACTCTGACCGCCTTTGCTTGAAAGGGGGGCCGGAGTAAGCGATGGGAGAGACGAGAGAGATCTTTGTCTACGGGCTCTCTTTTCTTTTCTTTTCATTCTAGTTACTCCCTCCAGGCCGTGCGTTGCATCCAATCCCTGACTTTCAGCACCATAGGTTGCCACTTGACTGACTCTTGATCCCTGGCATAAATCCAAGCCGGGATCATCTAGCGGTGTCCGCGAGACGAGAAGAGGCACCAACTACCGAGTCGACGACGTGCATCTGCCCATCTCGGTGCTATCTTGCTACTGCTTCAGGGGTGGCCTGGACCATACAATGGTATCGTGGGGCATCGGACATCCTCGTGACTTGACAGCATGACCTGCCCAGTGGTAGTATCCATCTCCTATTCCCATCCCTTGGCTCAGCATGTCGTCATCAAGGATCAAATTGAAACGAGCGCATTGACCGTGTGGGCATGTGTGCCGTCTTGTCTCTCCTCCCTGCCTTGCCGCGATTGACTCGTCTCTTTTTTCTGCCGCGGCTTCTGTCACATATCGATCAGACAGCCAAGCCAGACAGAGCAAATCAACTCTGGACCTATCATTCTCAGACCGCCCTAATGCAAACGAGGATGCTGGTGAGGATGCTGGTGACAATCTGATGCTGTAGACTCGAGTCCTGTCCAGACATGATTCGAATTGCGTGTGCTTGAATTATCTGGTTGTAAATGCAAATAAATGTTGCTATGATCCCTTCCATTCCCTTCCAAAATGCCATGTCCATGTCCATGTCCCTCTCTTTGCACCACTCGTTCCCTCACACCAATTTTCGCGCAACAATAAAATACAAAATCCCTATGCTGACCGTATGATGACCCAAGATACCCCATGAAAGTGAAAAAAGAAATATGGAAATGAAATCGGGGATAGAGCTCAGGGTGAGATTATAGATAGCTCTAAAGGGGGAAAAGAAAAGAGAAGAGAGTAAACCCTGGATATCGCATTCAACAAACCGGCCAAAAGCCACAGACTCCGCATCTCGCAAGAGTTCCCCTGTCTGTAGTTCAAGTACAGGTAATTTCCAGATCCGACAACGAGAAAAGGATCCAGAAAAAGAAAAATCAGGGGCGGGTAGGAAGTAAGAACAAGGGGGAGACGACGAGGAAGAAGCATGGGGCCAAGTGAGGCAACCCAAACAACAATAGCAGTAACAACAGCAGCAGGGACAACCACCACCGCCAAAAACAAGGCGGAAAGAGGCGCTTCTTGGCTGGCTGGGTATAGACGGCACTCATCCCGACGCCGGGTTTCGGCACAAGGCGTAGTCAGTCGGTTGGTGGATTGGTTGGGTTGCAGTCGACTCTGTTGCCTGCCAACTCCCGAGTTGCTGGCCATGCTCGTCCCCTGTCAGAAATGAAAAAACCAGGTGAATCTCTCGATAGACATGGGGTAGAGGTAGATCAATGGGGAGTCGACCAGGGGGCCTAGGCTGGCTAGGCTGGACCCTGTTGGTTCTGACCCTGATCCTGATCCCACTAGAGAGAGTTCTGATGCCCTCTGACGGGGCTGGCGCCTCCCAACGCCATGGCTTCGGCCTTGTAGTTGCTGTTGTCGTTTGTCCTTGATCTCTCGTCCGTCTCATCGCAAAGGCAAAGGAATTATTAGTTTAGTTAGCCCATCCGCGGGTCCAGTCCTGCAGGTCCCCGACAATCTGGTACGTGGGATTCGCCGAGTGTCCGTCGCCGCCCTTCTTGTCCCAGGCCCACCGGTCGGCAAAGTCGCTGTCCAGGGTTCCCTGCAGCATGTCGACGACGTAGTCACCGATGACGGGCAAGAACTTCCATCCGTGGAACGAGCCGCCTGTGGCCAGATACAGGTTGTCGCAGTGCGGGTGCGGCGAGATGAGAAAGTCGTGCGTCGGCGTAGATGCGTCCCTGTTTGAAGGAAGAGAAACCGGTCAGCTGCGAGTCCGAGTCCCATCCGGCCGAGGACGGGTGAATGCGAGAAGAAAGGAGGGGGGGGGGGGGGGGGGTTGGCTGCTTACCAACACATCCGGTAGGCCTCAATCTTGATATCCTCGACCTCCTTGCCGTAGAGCCCATCAAAGGTCCGCCGCGCACGATCTTCAAAGAACTTGAGGAAGCGAGGGCCCGTCCACGTGTTGTACATGGACTGGTCGGGCACCACCGACATTGCCTCGCCCGTCGCGGGGAAGACTTGGTAGTTTGTAAAGCATAGGTCGCAGTTGAACTTGATAGTGCCGTCATCGAGTATCGACATACCCTCGCCTGCAGCGCAATGCATGTTAGCCCACCCTGCTCGCTCAATGTCATGCACTAGACTGCATCAGAAACCTTACCCTTCACCTGCGGCAAGCAGTTCTTGAGCACGGGAATCGTAGAGAACTTGTCCTTTTGCGCTCCGTGCAGCTTCGCGTAGAAGCTTACGGCGCCTGTGGCCAACAGCCTGTCGCCAGCGTGGAGCTGCGGTCGATCCGGCGCGCTTTGCGCAAGGAGCGGTGCCGTCCGCGCGCCTGTGCACATGAGCACTTGGTCTGCCCGAAGCGTCTTGCCGTCGCTGAGCACGACGCCTGTGCATTGGCCCCCGGCTCCGAGCTCGAGCTTGGCCATCTCGCCCACGACGTACTCGGCTCCCAGGTCCACGGCGGCCTGGACAACCGCGCCGAGCGCCTTGTCAGCCTCGGCGAATCCCACGCTAGGGTTCCAAAGGATCCGGTCCACGCCCTTGAAGTCGGCAGTCGCAAAGGCACCGTTCCAGCGGCGGCGCACCTCGTCCACGGGCAGCATCTCGGACTCGTTGGAGATGCCCATGTCGCGGTAAGAGGCAATGCTGTCCTCGCCAAAAGAGGTAGCATCGGCCCGGAGCATGCCCACCTCGTGATACCACGTCTTGTATAGATCGTCCTGCCGCCAGAGGGGCATGGCCTTCTTCAGCAGCCGCATGTACAGCTTGTCTGGGTAGTCATCGCGGACGATCTTGTTGATATCATGCGAGGCTGCTCTGGGGTTGGGATATTCTGCCGTGTCGACAATGGTGACCTTGGCGTTGGCGTCCTTTCTGAGGAGGGACAGAGCGGTAGCGGCACCAAAGTTGCCGGCTCCTATAATGAGGAGGGAGGGAGAAGTAGCAGCCATTGTTCTCTTCTGAAGACCGAGGTGAAAAGTCTGAGTACGCAATGTCCAATAGGCAACCAAGAATAACAAGAGGAAGGAGGAGGAATAATAAAAAGGAAGGTGCAAAAGGTCGCGATTGCCTCTTGAAGGGGATATGTAGTCTATGTGCTTAGCTTAGCTTGGATGGAGATCTTCGCCTTCGCCGTGAGAGTTGCCGTGGGCGCGCACGGCGATTTTATATTGCATCGCAAACCTAACTCTAACTACTCGCCAACTCCCGAACCCAAATCAAACCAAGCCAGATCAGACCAAACCAGACCAAAGCCGGCCCGGGACTCGGAGAAGGAGGAGGCCATGCCATGCCTGCTTGTCTGCGCAGCGCCGCGCAGCGCAAGTAGCGGTCGACTCATTTGACGCCAACAACCCATCCATGGTCCGTTCCATTCGTTGCTTGATCTTAGAGGGGACAGGAAACAAAAAGAAAAGGTACTTTGTTGGTGCGCCCAGGCTCAAGCAGGGCGAATGTACTACGTACAGTACCGAACTTGTCTGCGCTGTGCAAGGCTAGGCATGTCGTTGTCGCAAGGCGCCCAACCCCAAAGGCGCAGGGAAGGCGAGCAGCCTCCAATCTCATCTCATGGGGTATGGTATGTACTCCTTACGGGGACGGGTACCCTCATCAACAGACACAGATTGATTGACGTGTCGTGTCGTGTCGACCCAGCCTCAAGTCTCGATTCGACGGCTTCAGCATCAGCAGGGGAGGGGGCCACCAAAAAAGGAACAAAACGAGGCAAGAGAAACACCCATCAGAGACTGTGTATCGTTCGTTGGCTGCACGGGGGTGCCTCAAACAAGAATCAGAGTACATACACCAGCCAGCCCAGCTCCCTCGCCAGGTAGGTACCCTGGCCTGCTCGCCTGGCCCGGCCTGGCGTCTCATCCTTCTCTACCCACGGCCCGTACTGTATAGCACCCGACCCGACAACTCCAGCTGCCATCTACGCCCGGCCGATTGCGACGAGAGAAAAGAGACCATCCATCGTCTCTCTCCATCTCTCCCTCACTTTACTCTCTTCTCTTCTCCTCTCCTCTCCAGCTGCTCCACCCCCCTACCACCCCCCGGAAAGGGAGTAAAAAAGTAAAACACCCCGGCTAGCTGGTCAGTAAGCTTCGCCTTGCTCCATCAACCTCTGCCGCTCTCGGCATGGCCTGGCGTCCTTGTCGCTCCGTGCCACGGCCTCCTCCGCCGTCGCCGCCGTGCTTCCTTGCCTTGTTTGCCTTGCCTCGCCCGGGCAGGGAAGGGTTGTCCATCTTCAGGTCCCGCCTCACCCATCAGCAGACAGACGACATAAGCGCTGCAACAACACTTGAGACAACGCAATGGCTGTCACTCTGTGTAGGTGTCGTGCTGCCGTCGGTCTGCAACTTGCACCGCTAGTCACCGCACTGCTCCTACATAGTAGGTCCCTGACATGCAGCAACTCTGGGAAGCCCACAAACGCCACGCATTAGCCTGCTGGCCTGTTGGGATCCCCACGAGATCTGCTCTCCCGGGACATACCCATCTCATCCACGCCTCTGGGTACGGTAGGTAGACGCTACGAATCGCAATCTTTTGACGGGTAGGTAGGTACTGTACATACCTGCCAAGTTACGTAGTACGGGACGGTCATTCTTCTCTTCAACTTGTTGGTGCCCGTGTGGACACTTTGGGCGCGCACTGTCGATTGTTCTCTCTCGTCTCGTCTTCCCGAGAGCTGAAGCTCAAGTTGGCGCTGTGTCATCAATGTGCCTTTCCGTCCTCATCCGGCTCACCTCACACCGCTCATCTCTCTTTCTCTCGTCTCTGTTCTCTCTCCTCTCCTCTCTTCTCTTCTCCTTCTGCTCTCTTCTCATCTCCCTCCCCTCCGCCGCCTGGTGTCGATGTCACCTCGCCCAATCCATGCAAGCTCCCACCTACTAACGCCCTAGTCCCGCACCGTTAAGAAGCCACGTGCGCCACTAAGGGTGTTGCGCGGAGCGAGTCCGTTCTCAGTCACGTCGGCCTGTCAAGGGTGTGTGGAGAAGCGTAGATTGGCCATTTAGATCGGATCGCAACGCCGGTTTGAGGCTCCATCTTGGATCGTGGATATCTCCCCCCAACGCCTGTTGCCCTATCACGCTCGCCATTGCCCCTGAATCACCCAGCTGCCATGACGCCAGAATGATCTGTGTGTCCCGTCACCGTGCGCATTTCCCCGGTATCGCTGATTCCAACTGGCTGGTCCATCCCTTTGATCGCCAGGGTAGCGTCTCTTGAACCCATGATCCTAGCTAGGAGATCATCGTCCAAGATGACGGAGAAAAAAAATGTGAGCAAAGGCTGCACAACCGCCCCCCTCCCCTCACATCCCCTTCCTCTCTTTTCCGGAGAGTTTCCTTAGAGCACCCTGAATCGAAACGTCGCATTTCTGCAACTCGAGATGCTCCGGCTGCAGGTCATTTAGCTCCTGCTGCCCTGCCCTGCCCTGCCTAGGCCCGACTGTCCCACGAGTTTGGGATGCGTCTTGCTTCTCGCCGCAGGCGGGCGAAACCGCAGCATGCCCTGCCCTGCCCTGCCCTGCCCGTCCAACCATCCCCCCGCTGTCTCACGCATCTCTTGAGCGGGAACTGGCAGCTTTGTTCCAGTATCCCTGCTGGGACCTCAAACCCGTTTCACCCGCAGACGTGGCGGTGCTTCCTTTTCTCGAAGGATTTGTGCGTGTAGATCGGTCGTACGACTCGTCGGCGACCCGCAGCGGCTGTGCAACCAAAGCGTCAAGGTTCGTCATCTATTGCCGACTCTGCTCTGGTCATGTCGTTATCCGTCTTTTACTCTGCGGCCCTCGCCTCACCTCGGGCATTTCTTGGGCTTCGACGGCCCAGTCCTGCCCGGATGCGTGGCCGCTCCCGAGTCGTCGTCCAAGTATGCAAGACCATTCATATGAGCTACTTATTTTGCCGCCCAGCAAGATAACCCATGTTCGTCAGAAGCACGCACGTCGTCTGCAATGGTCTGGATGATGCCCTGCATCCTCGCCCAAGGGCTAGCTGCATATGTAAGAACTGGTTTTGTCTGGTGGCTTTCACCGGTAATGAGCCCAGACCGTGACCGGCTGCAATATCTCATCGAGGCAGCCGGGATGAGCTGTGTTCCTTAGATGCTGGATAACTGATATGTACAGTAGAGATGATGACGGAGCGTCACGATTTGAGTTGCACCGTCTCTGGTGGCTCAAGACGCTCGGCAGGGCGACAATGGTCTGTACCCGTTGACCATTACCTTCACCTCCCCAGGGACAGACAGATCATCACCACGTCGTGATCTGATCTCCTACATGACTGTAAGGGCAATGGATGAATGTGTAGGTCGACCTTGGTTGCTGGGTGCAACCAGAGGTCGTTGCCAACCACGCTTGGGGCTGGCTGGAACGGGCTTCTGGGCGCGGCGCCATTGGTTCATGCTGCATGTCGGGCAGCTCGGGCTCTGAGGAGCCGCATGGGTGTTTTTCACCGGCCGCCATCCCCCAATCATAGCCTAGTCTCTAAATGTAAGGGAACTGACCGGTCGAGGTCATGCACCCCATAACAAAGCACAAGATCGAGCTGATGACCAGGGGACTCATGTAGTGACGCGATGCTTGACTGTTGCTTTGTGCCTTTCCAGGCCATCTCTGCGCGCAAACTTGCGTTTCTTTGGTGGGTTTGGGCATCCGGGAACATCGCACCGCCATGGTTTTCGATGCTTATTGCAGTGTTGCCTGTGACTAGGGTTAGCGAATGGCTGATGTCTCGTTCAACCGGGTCCGACTTGAGGACCACCAGGTGGCAAGCATACGCGAATGAAGAGTTTCTGTCAAAGAGCACCAGTTTTCCGTCCTTGTCCACCCCGCCCTTATCGCATCGGTGTCCCAAGGGACAGTAGTAAGAGCCCTTGCCTCTCTGCTTGAGGGCTTCCATGTCGATCTTGGCGAACTGCTCGTCCTCATCTTCTTCGGAATCATCTGAAGCGGATGCATTCGGCCCAGGCGACGGATGGCCATCAGCGATGTGCGACGTCAACATCATCTTCTGGCCGTTGTGGACTCTATGATCTACATCACTTCCCACGATAGACGGCTGGTTCCAGCTCATCTCGGTCTTGATGGTGGGAAACGGAGAAGCGGTCTGGTAGGATGGCGCAGAGACCACCGATCCAGGCTCAGGTCTTCGCCTCCAGATCTCCTCAACATCCCGGGAGAACTTCTCGGTCAGGTCGCGTATCTTGCTATAGAGATCGGGTTAGTCCAATGAGGATACACACTGCGCGTTGCTTTTGAGGGCTGAGAGTTCCTTACCTAAGCTTGGTGATGTTCATGTCCATGATGGCCATAGGTTTCAAGTCGGACATGTGAGTCTTAGAAAAGTTCTGCTCGTGGGCCTCTTCAGCAGCCACCGCCACATGAGGTCCCTGAACAAGTTTATCTGTCAAGGAAAACCACATCTGGGCTGTCTGGGTTAGATACTCTCCGACATCACTAATGAGGTTCTTGGAGTTGTTGGGAGACGAAGAGTCTCCGGCATTCATGGCCAACTCCCTGGAAGCGGCCGCAAGTTGGAGCCGGACCAAGGCATCCAGCGAGTTGTTCTCCATGGCGCTGGCGGGCGCGGCGTTGATTCCGGACTCGAAGACTTGGGCAACTGTCGGGATCGACATGGTACCTCCCGGAAGCTTGAAGCTCTTAGTTTGCCTCAAGACTATACTAGTGCCGGAAGCTGAGAGATGTACTCGGTACTATGCTCGGGAGGGACTGAGCCAACCACGCGGGACCTAGCAGTATCGGGCTAAGCTGTGGCACGGAAGCTAGTGAAGAAGGAAGGGAAGGGCAGGTCCCGGATCCGGCGCGGCGCGGCGGCGACGGCGGGAACGCAAAATCTTTTTGTGGCGACGAGGGGGAGGGGGACTGGACTGGCGGTTGGGATTTGTGCCTGTCGACGTAGGGGTTCGCACTCGGGCTGCTAAGACAGAAGAAAAGGGATGCGCGCGCTCGGGCTGGACGGAGAAGGGCAGCGTGTAGCGTAACTGTCCCAAGATTGGACACCTATCGGCGGCCTTGCTTTCTCGACTGACTGACTGCTTGCTTGCTTGCTTTCGTAGGGTGTACTATGGCCTGGAAGCCAGTACTGAGAGGCGAGGGGCAAGGTTAGGCGCTCGAGATGGGCCGCTTTGTCAGTCACTCGGTGAGCGTCCTGCGTCTCTGGATCCGCGGGGGACGACGACGGTAATACCTCAGCGACGGTCGACAATATGGATGCTGCGGCCAGACCCGTCAGTCTCTTGGAATCTGCTCCTTATGAGGCCGGTAGAGAGGCAAGACACGCGGTGCCGGGCACAGGCACAGCTTTTTCGCGTGGGCAACGGGGGATGGGGGAAGAGACAACAGGGAATTGAGAAAAGAGACAACAGAGCCAGGGCGACGCTAATGCACCGGGGGTCACCATCACCCGTCTCACAGCTTGTACCCGGCACCGTTTGCTGTACTGTTGGCACTGGACGGACTGCCTCGTCTGCTTGCCTGTGTGTGTGACCCCCAATGTGACGGGACGGGCGACTGGGCCCTGGACCTCCGGCAGGCGAGGCATGACGATCCACCGTGGCTTTTTCTCGTGTTCCCCGCTGGTGGCCCGTTGCAGCACCTCGTGCCTTGTCTTTAAACTCATCTTGGTCCCCCTAGTAAATGACCCCTGGTCCTTCATCTCGACCAGTGGCTCCCGTAGACCCAGGCCCATCACGCTTACCCATGCCGCCCCCCTTCATCCCCTCCGCCTCCCGTTCGCTCAATGTTTCGACGGCGCCAGCAGGCGCGTGAGGCGCGGCAGGCGAGGGGATGGTGGGTGAGATTTCGCCCTCAGGTATCCCGCCCTACCGATCGTGACCGGGCGACACTGCATCTGCTATCGTGAGGCGACGTGATGCTAGCCATTCGAAGCGCGCCCGTCGTCTCTTGTGTTAAGGGCCCTAGGCTCGTCAGGTCGCAAGTGGGGAGGGCTGCAATCCAACCATCAAGCCTCGACGTTGTCCAACGGTTCTCTTTGAGCCCGTCTCCTAGTAGTATAGTTATGAACGGGTCCCAGAGAGCTGGACGCTCCCGGTCGGCGTGCCTTTTAATGCAGGTACTCTCCCCCAGACTCACACCATGACCTCACGCTCTTCCTGACTCTGCTTCAACACCCCTCTGCCGGCCCCTTGGTTGTGTTGTTTCCTCCTTCGCTTCTCTTGTTCTCTCCTTTCGCCCCCGCAATCCCAGTGGTTCCCCCTCCCAATCCACTCTCGGCAGGCGTGGTTTTTGCTTCGAAGCGAACCACTCCGTTGGTATCTCAACAGGCTCGCAAGTGACGCGCCCGCAACGATTGAACGCTGTTGCTCCCTAGTGCCCGGCGGCTCTTCGTCTCACTGGCCTCTCTCGTCGTCAAACCGCTGCCGTTGCTTCCTGTTGCCGCCACCCGCTGCCGCTGGTCCTCCGTTGTGCCCTGATCCGGCCAACTCCGAGTGCCACTCCATTTCTTGTTCTCTCATCTCTCTCCCCATTTCACTGCAACACGCAGTTTCCTGCTCGGTCCTGCGCTGCAGGCCCATCGGAGTACCCCCCGCCGCCGTGCCCTGCTTGCTGCCTGTCGAGCTCGCTGCTGCGTGAGCGGCTCAGATGGAGGACTCGCCAGAGTCAGAACGTCCACTGAAGCGCGTCAAGTACGCGCAGCAGGATGGCGATATAATCCCAGTGAATATAGCCGCGTCCGATATACGGGCCCCCGACGGCATACCCGGGTCCATGACCACCGATATCTCGTTATTTGACAGTCCATGGGCGCAGCCGACTGGTTTGGCGTCTCCGTCGCAGGTGCTCTTCAGCCTCTCCGAAGACCTCAACAGCGGCTCTTGGGCCTCTTTTCCAGGTGAGGAAACGAACCTGCTGTCCCTCATCCGTCGCCTCCTTTTACCTCCCCCTTCTCTCCTCACCCATTTCCCTCTCCCTGTTGACGGGGTCTCCCCTCTCATCTTGGCCTTGTCGTCCCTGTCATATCCCTGTGGCGGATCTTGAGATGGGTCTCGGGCCATGGACGTGTAACCTTGGGCGTTGAGGTGAGAGAGAACATGATGCACCCACCCACCCCGCTCTCGCTCCTACTCTCACCCCGTCGCACAATCCGGCTCAGAACCCATCTTCATCCATCTTGTTCCCGACTTCGTTCCCGTTCCAGTTCCGATCCAGAGGAATCAAAGCTTTCCATTGACCCGGTCATGCCATGGTAGACTATCGAGTCGGTGAGCTGACGTTCCATGCAGCACCCCAGCCTGCGGGACTGAACCTTCCTTCAGCCACATCGCCTCGACTTCAACCGACTTCTCACCAAGCTTCTCAACCGCCTCGTCTGCCTCGTCTCCTTCCCGCGGTCCCGGTCGGCTCTCCGGAGCCTGCTGTTGAGGCCCGAGACATCGAGACGCATGTGCCAGCGGATGTACCTGCCGTCAGCCCGTTCACTGATGATGGCGAGCGGTTAATTGTGTCAATCGTTCCTCGCTATGTTCGCCCGGAGAACGGGCAGGTGAACGGCTATGTCAAGTTCAACTGGCCCTCAAGAACGCCATCGAGACGGCCGTCCACCGTTATACAACCGTCATCAGACGATGATGTTGAAGAGATACCGACGAACTCAACCCAGCTAGCAGCTGCTAGTCGCCGTCCTAGTACAGTGACCATCTTCGGGCCCGTGCCTGTGCAATCCGTGTTGACCGGCGGGACTGTGTCCCCTGTGAGTACAGATTCGACATTGATGTCAGTTGGTTCATCACCGACGATGCCAACATCTTCGCCAATAACGCCCCCGGAGTCTTCTTTGCAGCTCATGTCGAACAATGAGCCAAGAATGCTGCCACCGCAATTCGGATTCCAGGCCAAGATGGATCGGATTGATAGACGGTTATTTGAATTTTGTGAGTTCTCTCCTTCAGTCGTTTATCACGAGCAAGCGGCGTGTGTTGGGCGAGAACCGATCTGGAGCTGACTGTCTTGTTAGATACCAAAAACTGGTGCCCTGGGAGAAGTGTTCTCAGTAACACGAACCTGTGGCTGAGGGACTTGGCCCCGATGCATAAGAACGAAGGCATCCGCTATGCCATCCAGAGTTTGGCTGGTGTCTATATCTATGATTACCTTCCGGATGAACGTATTCGACAACGAATCAATGAGCGATACATCATGGCAGACGAGTATTTCAGCAAACTTCTCGTCGCTCCGGAGAGTAGAAGAGTTGGGGGTGGTGATGAAGTCATTACCATGGCCGTCCTTCTCTCAATGCAAGATGTGAGTGCGGCGGAAATTTCCTGCGTTTTTTGTTAGCATTGTTGTGGTGGGCTCTAACCTCATGAAGATCGTGTTGACCGAACGGCGGCTGAAGAAACCATACAAGCCTCGTTGGTTAGAAGGATTCAAACAGGGCGAGTATTTTTTGCAGGCGACAGATCCGGGTGGGCGATTCTGGAAAGACACCAACGTCCAGTATAGCGATTTGCGAATCTCTCAGTCCATCATCGTTGGTCGAGCCGTCATCCTCGCTCAACCAATGATGGCTCTTCCCTCGCCAGCGACACTTGACCCCGAGGTGGAGTCGGGCAGATTCGGTTGGTTGCTCTATGGCACGTTGAAGGATATGCTCGAAATCCATGGCGGCTGTGGCTTTTCAAAGAAGCTCCTGCATACCATGAGTCAAGTGACATACTGCGCGGCCCGCCTGCAACAGGAACCCGAGAGCACAATCGTTCCCATCACGGCACGATATCTTCACCGCGAACTGCAGGAGATGCGACAATGGAGCCGCGAAGGGATCACATGGGAGGAGGCGCAGAAACATCCGCAGGTGATAGAGTGGGTGAGGGATAGCCCGGACGACACAATCATCGACTCGAACCAGGCCATGACGGACGTGACGGCCGAGGCGTGGAGACTTGCCGCCATCATTTACTTGCAATGTCGACTCTTCAGGTATGGATATGAGAAGAACAGCTGGGGATGTGAATGTGGAAGAAGCGTCATATGGAGGGGAGGGGGAGGCTTGCTTGCTCCTTCCTGCTAGATGATTCATGGTGAGGCACGTTGTGCTAATCAACTCTTAGGCTCCCTCGCAACCACCCCGACGTTCTTGCCAATTTGACGGACCTGGCAAAATGCATCCGCATCATGCCGACATCGGGCTCACATTTCACGGCTCAGGCACCTCTTCTGCCAGTCTTCTTCTTGGGCATGCTCGCTACTCAACCCGATCACAAGAAGGTGTCACGAGACTGGTTTGAGGAAGTGGTTCGGACGCCAGTTCGCAGCGTAAGTCAAAATCCCTCCCCTTTTTATTGAGTCCGTTTTATAGGGCAGCCTGGTTCTGCCACTCCTCGGTCTACTGCAATAGCTTTACAGAATTAAAGTGCTGACCACCTCTCATCAGAGCGTCCCTCCGCTGTACCACGCGCTCAAGCGCATCTGGGCCTGGATCGACCACGATGTCCAGATCCCCCCTGAACCCTCGGTCCTGCCCAAGTCTATCGGCAAGAGGTATCCTTGGTGGGAACACCTCGTCGCTAGCGTCCATGATAAGGAAGAGGAGACCCTATGCCTAACCTAGATGACCGCAGCGTCTATCCGCCTTTGCGCCTCCCATATCCCTTTG